AAATAGCTGCAGGAGAGGGAACAGTGACTGCAGCTTTCTGAGACAGCCACCCGGGAAATGGCTCTGCATTGTTCTTTTTCTTATGAGCAGTACCCATGGTCTTAGGTCTTCAGTGTCAACTTCACTTGGGATGGACCTGGAGCAGGGAGCTCCAGTGGCTCAGGTGGGAATTTGTGGGAGGAGGTAGAGCCCCAGGTTGAAAGCACACTGTCATAGAATCATAGAATAGTTAGGGTTGCAAAGGAACTTAAGATAAATCTAGTTCCAACACCCCTTCCATGGGCCTTGCCTCCAACACCTGTCCTTGCCAAGTGTGTCTCCAGTACTAGGGCAAGGAGCTGCTGCTGGCTTCCATTTGCAGTGGGGTAACTCTCACCATGAGCCGTGTGTGAATGCACAAGAAAAAGTTGATTCTGGCTTCATGAAGCTGAAACTTCAAAAAAGATCACTGTAGTTGTTACTGTTCATACCGCAATGGCTGTCTGACCCCAAACACCTTGATCCATATGAAAGGGGCAAGGGAAGCTTTCCTGCTGGCAGCTAGACTTTTAGCTTTTAACAAGTGCTCCAGGAGGAAAGCAGTATAAGGCAGGTGAGGAGGAATGAAATGCAGTGTCTCCTGGGAAAAAAATACAGCCTCTTGCACTGTTCTGCAGTTTTCAAGGGAGTCTCAAGCTTCAGGATGAAGTAAATCCCTTCTCTGCTCTTAAGGAATTCTGCAGCCCCAGAATTTTCCTGTAGGCAAATCTTAGACTTACTTCAAGCTACCTGCCTGCAGGTATGCTCTCCTTAAGCCTTATAATTTATTTGCAAATATTTGAATCCTCTAAGATACTTGGTCTGGCTTGAGCTGCAAGTGCATGTTCACATCACCTGCTTTATGGGTTTTTTTGTCCTGGGAGGTTTTCCTAGGGAGAATTGGCAGGATAGAGATACCTGCTATAGCTTATGACTTCTGGGTATTAGAAAACTCCTCAAAGTGCCCTGCAGTTGCTGTGTTTGCCAGGGACAGAGCTTGCACTGACACCCGCACAGCTTTTGTGTTCTCTTTTTCTTTGTAGTTGCTTTCCCTCTCTGTGTGTTTGGGATCTGCATGTGAAATGGAACACTATGAATCCTTCTGTGGTTTTCTGGTTTGAAACAAATGTGCATTCCATTCCATTTGTCCAGGGAAGAGGAGGGAGCTCAGCCTGCACTTGTTTTTCTCTGCCTTTTGACCTGTCACATTGGTCCCCTGCTGAAGGCTGTGGAGTTGGAGAGCAGCACACGGTGCGCAACTTAGTCTGTGCTTCCCCCAGCCTGGTCCTGCCGCTGGGGACTGGCAGGGGTTTCATTAAAGCTGTAGAGGTGTAAGAGGGTTTCCTCTGAAGTGATGCATTTCTGTAACAGAAATCTTATTTGCTAATGGAAATTACTGGTTTTCAGGAAAGGAGATTTGAACAACAAAACTGTTACCAGCCGTGTTGAAAAAATGCCTTACTGGCATACAGAAAATCCTGACCCCGAAGGCATTGACTTATATGGATGCAGGGTCTTGCCCGTTTGTCTTTTGTGACCGCTGCTATATGCTTCGGAAAAGTCGTTGTTATTCCCAAGGGGGCAATAAGGAGAATAACCTGCTGGTACAGAGGTTTCTGCCTGCTCTCCCTTCCAGGGAATGACTGACTCTTCAAGGCTTTACCTCTCTTCTACTTGTCAGAGGCTTTACTGTCTTCTTCTAGGCTGATGCTAGTTGTTTTGATTCATATGTGTGTCCAGTTTATTAATTTTCTATTCTACAGATGGTTTGGCCATACCAACACTTTGCCACAGTTAAGTTTCATGAATTGTTTGTTGTTGGGTTTTGATAAAGATAGCATTTCCTTTCCTCAGTTTAAGCATGCTGCTCTTTTAATTGCACTGATGGGATGATGGCTGTTTCTGTGTTTATCTCTACCCCATTATTTTTGCATATTCATGTTTTGCTTGTTAGTTGAGGCTGCTTTAGACTGAGATGATCTCTTCATAATGATGGCTCATATTTAAGTTGATGTCGTTAATTTAAACCCTAAAAATAAAGGAGCATGTTTTGGATCATTCTTTCTGTTGTGCATTACCATATGCGAAAAGTATATTTCATCTGCTGTCTTGTCTTCTCTTTACTGACTGGGGTGTTGGTCTGAAAAGCATTTCCAGCCACCTCCATTATGGGCTCACATAAGTAACACACCTTCCATCAGCTCCCACACCTTGATGGTCACCTCATGGTCAGTGTCCATTTGGCTTTGATAGAACTTCCAGGTTTTAATCCTTTTTTATTGCGACTACTGTGTGCTCGCCTAAATATTTTGTGATTCTTAGCTATGTGGTTAAGACCTCTGCACCTGGACTGAGGGCCAGCTGCAGACACCCTGTTTCAGGGAAGGAGGAGAATTCTGATCTTGTTAATTAGTACCTCTCACACTGGTTTTCAGTTCAGTTTGTTGTAAAAGACAGCAAGGAACCCTTTGCTTTGGCTCTCTCTGAAACATAAATAACTTGCATGAAGGAGGTATTTTCATTTTCGCAATTCCTCCTTTCATTGGGGTAGTGTTTTATTCTGGGCACCATTTTGTTGGTGGCTGAGTGATGATACGTTTGTACTGTCGCATGGACAGATGGAGAAGGGAAAGGAGAAGAAATGGCGGAGTCTTTAATTAGCCGTGCAGCGCCAGAGCATGCTTTTCCAGGGCGTCTGGGGTTTTATATAGGGTGTAGAGGCTCAGCCGCTCGATGGATCCAAATTAGCAAAATTGTGTATCCACCGCCAGGGCGTTTCTATGGTAACTGTCTCTCAAATCATATATACAAACAGACCTGGCAGGGGGTATCGCCGTCTATTTGGTCTGTAGGAAGCCATTGGAAAAGAGGTGTTTTCAGGCTGCAAAAAGGGCTTGTGATGTAAATATTTTTTACTTTCTGGTAAGTGGTGTAAGTTTTGGGATCAGTGATGGGTGCTGGCGCCATTCCGAATCTGTTTGTGTTTCTGCACATTGACTGACAGCTGTTACTCCCGATAGGTGTGAGAGTCATCACCAGGAAACTTGCATGAGGTTGCAAATGCACAGTTAGCAGGCATATCCTTTAGCTCGGAAACATCTTGCTGCTGCACATCATTAGCAGCCTATCTACAGCCGTGCAGGTAGACTGTATGCTACGTGGCTTTTGTGCTGAGCGAACCAAATTATATGTTCATTTCTTTTCCCCTCATCATTCCTCATAAAACAGCAGAAATCTGGAGGCTCTTTTCTCACCGGTGTACCTGGCGAATTAAGGGAAATCATCAACCTAATCAAATTAGCAGTGTAAGAACAGCCGAAGTGGCTGTGACTCTTCACCTAGGTGACTCTATCTTTATAAATTCTCTCTACATGTTGCTTTTCCTGGTGGAAAAAAAGAAAAATGAATGAATGATCCATTTAGCTTACTGCCCTCTTTTTGAAATGTAAGGCAATTATTGTTATTTTTCGCTTGTCCAAAGTCAGGGACTGCTAAAGCGTGGGTCATTTCAAATGGGAAGTGGTTATTTCTTGTGGCCGTCAGTTCCGTGAGAGCTCCTTTCTGGTTTAAGTCTAATAAAGGACAGTTAGCATGAGATCTGTGCTGAATAATCTTTTTCACCTATTATCTTGGATGCTGCATGGTATTGGTTGAGTGGTGAGTGTATAATGGTGTTTGTCTGGAATAATTCCTAAGCTTGCTTAGTAGCTTCAAGGGATAGTGCCTCTCTTTGCACTGGGCCTTGGCTTATGTGATCGGTCCATAAGAGACTGTACACAGAAATGCTATGTAAAGGTAGATAAGGCTATGCCTGAGTGCACAACCCTTCCCATTGTAGAAGCTTATACATATCTTCAGTGAAAATGGCATATTGTTCATAAATTACAGGACTGACAGGAATGTACTCTAACCTGTAGAATGTTAAAAACATGTTAATTTTTGTTTTCTCTTTTTACAACTAGGCATTTGCCGAAAGCTGTGTGTGATTTATTCTTTTCTTTTTAATGAATTGTTAAAAATGTTTGAAAAGGCATTAAATCTTCCTTTCTGCTATTAATTTGTAAAAGGGGAGGGGGATTTTAAATGGCCTTTTAGTATATTGCCTTATAAAACTGCTGATTCTAGCAGCACCGGAATAGGAATACATACTAATGTAGGAAACACTGAAGGCAGTCAGAGCCTTCTGCATTTATGGAGGAAAAGACTAATAGCTCCATTTTAACAAGGCTCTTAACACTTTGGGCCATCAGCAGGCATTGAGTGAGTGAAATTGGGAGAGCTCCTGTGTGCTAAAAGCATTGAAGTTCACCATTTTGTACCCTAGTTGGAGCCTTCCTGATAGAATTGCACTCTCCAGCCAACTCCAGTTGCCATCTTGAAAACAAACCAAGCAGCGAGCTGGCATTTTGACTGAGTGCACTAATGCTTCACTTTTGAAATGGCACCAGAGCATGATAAATACACTTAACTCCCAGCGGGATACTTAGCTTTGCAGTGGCGTTAGAGAAAGTTTCTGCGTGTGTGTTAAGAATGCAAGCAAAGCCTGTTTATAGCACGTTTTATACTTGACCAAAACACAGAAGAGAGGAAAAATCTGCAAACCTGATACTAAGACACAAGCTTTGATTCAAGTAGTTACGCCACAGAAATCAGAAGGGATGTGCTTAATTAGATTACATCCTCATGTTACTGAATTCTAGGGGAAAGGCCAGCCAGGGGAGGAGTTTCACAGGTAGGACACAGGCAAGGGAAAGGCTCTGAAGAATGTACCTGTTCTAAATAGCTCTTTGATACGGAAGCCTTTCTTGTTAGCAGTGATAAGATTATGTACGGGATTTGTATCTTCTTTGAGCCCCTGCCTTTCTGTTGTCAATTTTGGCATGTTGCAGCATCATGTGTTCTCTCCTTATCATTTTGAGATGCATTGTTAGTAGCTGGGCTGCATAATTGATCTTCATCTCTAATTACTCTCCTCTCCACAGGTGCCTGGAAAAGGTCCAGATGGGAGCTCATACAGTCCCCACTTCGAGGGGATGGAAAGGCAGTATGCATCCTTACCCAGGTATGGCGCTGAGCCTCACACACGCACAGTCTGACTCACCCTCCCTCCAGTGGGTGGGGAATTCAGCCCACAGCTATATCTGACTCCAGCTTGAGATATTATTTTGCAGTTTTGTCTTGCCACCTTATGCTGCTGATTTAGTGCCATCTTTATAACTCTACTCTTAATATGGACTTTTGAATTTATGTATTTTAAAAGGTTTTGCATTGAATATGTCAGCAAGAGTCATGATCCACAGGTAGGGAACATGACATTGAGGAAACTGGCTTTGCAGAAGTAATAACAGGTCGTAGCAGGGCATAAATGACTGAGTTTAAATGTTCCATCCCTGGCAGTGTCCAGGGCCAGGTTGGATAGAGCCTTGGGTGACATGGTTTAGTGTGAGGTGTACCTGCCCACGGCAGGGGGGTTGGAACTAGATGATCTTAAGGTCCTTTCCAACCCTAACCATTCTATGCTTCAATTGTACAGTCTTAGCTGGCATTGACAGAGTACTGCTGTGGGAAGCCTCCACTGCAGCAGCCACAGCCACTGAAGTCCCACTGCTGCTGCAAGGACTGACTGACTAGCAGTCTTGTTCCAGTAGAGCATCTCTGTGCTTTAACTGAGCACTGTGGAAATGAGAGTGAATTCTCTGAGGGCTTTTTTTAATTTTTAATCCTTATCAACTCAATGAAGAGTAATTCTAGTATGAAACCAGTGGGGCATAACAAAAAGGAAGCATTTCAGAGATTTCAGTCCCATTTCTGTGGGAGTTCTAATAGCAGAGTGTAAGCCGTAGCAAGCCAGAAAGGCGAACGAGAGGATGCTAGGAAATATAGTGGGAGGAAAACAAAAATAGAAAAATATTCCCCTTTTAGAATTAGAGGCCTAAGAAAGACCTTAAGGGGGTTGCCCAGTCCACTTCTTGGTCCTACAAGCAAGGTAATTTGCAAAGGCAAAGCAAAAATAGCTATTTAAAAGCAAGAAGAGATTCTTCATTGTGAAATAATGCTGGCATTTAGGAAATCAGTGAATCTGCTTCTTTTTCCACAATCTACATTCAAAGGTCTCACTGGAGAGATTGATTGATAAATGTGTAGTGCTGTGTCCAATTCCAGATGAAAATACAAAGATGTTTTTGGAAACCAATATATAGAGGCTGTACCACAAGACATCATTGGATGTTTGTAGGTATTTTTCAATGTACATGGTTTCTAAACTGAACGACCTGTCTGTAGTTTAGTTACTGCCTTCAAACAGTATTTGTGTCAGCCATTGTTTTGGAAATTCATCCTGTGCAGTAGCTGGCTTTTCTAACAGAAGCCTGCTTTCAGGCAGTGTCTTGTACATATTTCCTGACTGACTGTGAGTATTCTTACTCTCCTGGGTAAGTAGCCATCTTTTTCCATAGCTCTCCAGTACTCAGGTCTCCTCTCATGTTTTTAGTAGTCATTTTGCAGGTTAGTTAGGTGTAGTTTAATTATGCACACTCTTTTTTTATCTATTTTAAATTTCAATTTTGTTGAGTACTTCCTTGTGAATTACAAGAATGAATTAACAATTGGTGGCCAGTGTAACTCTCTACAGCAATTTTCATATTCCAGTATCATGTCTCTTTTTATTCATTTTCCCTTCAAAGCTAATCAACCTTATTTTTTCAGTCTTTATAAAATGTAAATTTCCCAGTGAAGTCTTAACTCCCATCACCCAGAATACTTTTTATTTCACTAGTATTTCTTTCGAGGATGACCAGAAGTGGGCACAATAATGCAGATGTAGATGTGCCCTTGCTTTATGCAGCAGTGTTGTCTGTATTCCTTCTATCTTGTTCTTTTTCAAACGCTCTGCATCCTTGGCATGTCCGCTAGGTGTGTGTACCATAGGGGGTACTCTGCACTTTGCGTTTTCATGGAGGGGGGATAGGTTTGGTTGGATTTTGAGGTTTTTGTTTAAAATAGGTCTGTTCTTCCCAAAACTGGGACTTGCTGGAAATGCGACTCTAGGTTTTCTAACAGGTTTGAGTATTTAGCTGGCTGGGTCTCACCCTTTAGGAATTCATCCAAACATTCAATAAGCTTTTGAAGATCAGCGTGAAAAGTGCCGTTTCTCTCAGTGCCTAAGAGGATCATGCTAGAGAGTGTGGGCCTGCACTTCAGCAGGGCTGTGTGTGCTTTCTGATCCGAGCACTTGCACTGCTGCACACAGGTCATGAATTGCTGTGCCTCCAGAGGGTTTCTTCCCTGGCAGGAGAAGAGCTTTGGGGCAGCGCACCCTCAGGTGTGCCTGCAGTCCAGCAATCCACTGCTGCCTTTTATACTTGGGGTTTGTAAGTTTTGCAGTTTCATGTTGCTGCAGTAATTAAGCCCTGGCAGTCACAAATGACTAGATTGCTACAGTGAAGTCTAAATCCAGAAGAGGATGTAGTCTCATTGCCAGCCACTAATGGAAATGAGTGATTTCTTTTCTTCTGATGGCTGACTGCCCAGAAGTATTAAAGGAATCCAGGTAAAAACTACCCACTTTCCAACTTATTCTCAGTGGAGGATCCATGAATACTACTCTAATGGGCAGCATTATTACAAAAAAAAAAAAAAAAAGAAAGGAAGTTAGAAACACAGAGATAATAATTTCCTCGAAGAGCTGCTTTCTTATCCCCAGCATTCTAGTATTATTTCATGATTTCCTGCCTGTGGGTTTATTCCCCTCCTTGTCTTGTCCTGTCCTGTCCTTATCTTGATCATAGAGTCATAGAATAGTTCGGGTTGGAAAGGAACTTAATATCATCAAGTTCCAACCCCCTGCCATGGGCAGGGATGCCTCACACTAGACCATGTTGCCCAAGGCTCCATACAACCTGGCACAAGTCCAGGTAAATAACGTCAGCTGCTCTGCCCCTGTCCATCAGTTCTGTAGCCCCATCATAGAAGGCCACCAAATTGGTCAGGCAGGATTTCCCCTTGGTGAAGCCATGCTGGCTGTCACCAAGCACCTTGTTGTTTTTCATGTGCCTTAGCATGCCTTCCAGGAGAATCTGCTCCAAGAGTTTGCCAGGCACAGAGGTGAGACTGACTGGTCTGTAATTCCCTGGGTCTTCCATTTTCCCCTTCTTGAAAACGGGGGTTATATAATCACATTTGATATAGACGTGGTATATAACTGTCTGCATACTTGCCCATTTAAGTCCAGTTTAATAAGAGGTATTTAGAGAGTCTTCAGATGAGGGTTGTAGATGCTGGGAGACAGTTTCTTACTGCAATACTGTGTTGAGTCCAGGATCTTTGCTGCTACGCTGGTGTGGCACACACAAGGAAAGAGAGGCAAGTGTTTAGACTGCAACCAGTTTCACTCAATGAGGAGGGAAGGGGGGATCTGTGCTATGTCAAGAGAAGCTGGGATCTACACAGTAAAACTGTTCTGCTTACCTGGAAGCCAGCAGGAGTCATGCCAGTGTGTGGATATGGACAAATTGAGTATGAGAGCTTTGGTTTTCCTCCCCACTGGTCAAGAAAGAGGAATGATCACCTGCCAAACAGCTTTATGAACGTCTGGTGCCCTTAAGCACTACCCTGTTCCTGTGCAAAGGCACACCTCCTGCATGAGAGGGAATTCAGACTGCCAGCAGCATCCAAACGTATCTGCTTGTGGGTTGTAAAAATCTAAGCTTTGAAACATCGTTGCTGCTTTGCCCTTTTCCTTTTGTTTTGTATTCTTCTGTTTTTCTCCACAGCTGCTAATTTAAGCCTAGATATTATGGGCCAGATTCAGGTCATGTGTCTGTATTAACTGTATTTGAGGGATTCAGCTGTGTCGAGTGTGCTTGCCTTTTCAGTCGATGCAGCAGCAAATCCAGTGTCCCAGTCTCACTGAGCTCAGTGACGCCCTTTTTTGCCCCTCAGTGCAGGATCTGTTCCTGTGTAAGGTTACATTTTTAATTAAAAGCTGAAAACAGGAGGCAGCAGCCTTTGGAGGAAGGCTTTGTATGTGACTGGCCTAATGAGTGAACAGCTGAGTTATGTAGTTAGGTTTCTAAGTCAAATAAAGCCAGTCTGTAGACTTGGTTTGGAAATGTCTAGAGAAGCAAACATCTGAATTAGATGGTAAGTGGCTGTGGCAGGAGAGTGGCAGGTCGTCATCTCACACTGCATTGTGCTGCTCTGTCTGCAGAAAAGCAGCTAAGTGGGAAAGACAGAATGGAAGGCTTTGCAAGAGAGATATAGTTCTTTGCACTCAATACTTACGTGTTGCCCTGGGGCTATGGCTAAGTACTGCTGAGTAGTAGTATTAAGCAATGTTAAATCTTCCTGCTTAGGAGAATGGCTTGATTCTTATATCTCTTAACCTCTTTTGGGAAGAGGAGCAGGGCAAGGGTGTGAGAGACAAAAAAAATTTGTATTTTTCAAACTATTTTTAATGCCTGTTTTCTTGATGTAATACAGAATATTTTCCTGATGGAGCTATGGAACAGATACAATGCTGAAGCTGCTCTGTTCATAGTTTTGTTTTTGAGCTTGCTTTTATGGAAGTCTGTCTTAATGTAAATCACAGTCTTGCCAATGGCAGCCTTGTTTGGAGAAATGTCGTGTTCGAGGACACGTTCTTTTCTGTGTTGATGGAAAAGCTGGCTGTGACCAAAAGCAGGCTGTCAGACATGGAGACAGGACACTGGTGACATGACGAGTGTAGATGAGAAAGCTCAGCCATCTTCCTGGTAAGAAATGCTGATTCCAAGGGAAAGCTAACGCTCCAGACTTTCTCTGGAATCCTTCTGCTATTGAAAAACATGCATCTTTGTCAAGAAAAGGGGTGGGGTTGGAAAGGCAGTAAGAGCATTGGAAAACAACTGCTAGCATGGAAAAATGAGTTCAGGCTGTGTAGATGAGTTCCAATTGCTCAATCAATTGCTTTGGCTGGGAGAAGACCACTGAGCAAACTGGTAATTGGTTCACAGGAATATGCTTCTTACATGTAACAGGCCTCCTAAAACTGGGAAATTTGCAAATGTGTTAAGGAAGTAGCCT